CTCTCTCTCTCTCTCTCTCTCTCTCTCTCTCTCTCTCTCTCTCTCTCTCTTTCTCTGTGTGTGTGTGTGTGTGTGTGTGTGTGTGTGTGTGTGTGCATTGCCGTGAACAACCTCCAACACCATTGTCACGTGGGCGACAACACAAATGTGGGCTACAACAAAAAGTGTTGGTGTTGACGCCCACAACCTCATATATAAGCACACGATGGCCCCAAGGCCCGCCCAATCCACACGAAGTCCCTTTTTTTTTTTTGGTGAAAATTGAGAAAAAAAAAAAGGACTGCCCACGTCCCTGCGGGGCTCAGCCTGGCAGGCAGTGGCACGGGGCAGGGCTGCTTCGGCCTGCCCTTCGAAACAGCCCTGCCACGCCCCACTGTTTGCGAGGCTGAGCCCCGCGGGGACGCGGGCATTCCTTTTTGTTTTTCTCATTTTTCACCAAAGAATTTTTTTTTTAGAATTTTTTCAACAACACTCCTGTCACTCCTGTGCCCCCAGCAACCCCACCTAACACCCCATGCCCTTAACCCCCCCCTAGCACCCCCCCSTTGGGCCGTAGCACGCTCGTACGGGAGACGTCCGTACGCCCGTACGCCCGTACGGTCCGTACGGGTACCCCCCGTACGACGTACGGGGGACGACACAGGGTTCCGGTAGGACATTTGCTCACCATATCTGAAGCTGCAAACGACAAGCTGTTGCAACAATGCCAGAAGAACCAAAAACGCTTCACATATCAACGCATACGACGGATGCCGAAAAAGAAGAAGGAGGAAGAAACCGAGGAGGTTGTACCACCGGAACCTGAAATTGATGAACCCGAGGTCGCACGAGTAGCCAAGATTTGTTTATTTGAGAAAGATCACTTCATGCGAGCTCGCCCAGTGCTATGGAAAAGTGCTGAATGTAACTGTGAAATCTGGGGCAAGTCGTTCAATGCCCTTATTGATACTGGATCTTCAACGGTTGCATATCCTTAGACACAGTACGAAGAACGGGACGACTCAACTCGATTCTTCCTCAATCTGGCAAAGATAACTATGTCTCTGCCGACGAGGAAGCAATAAACATTGTTGGGGTTATTGAGAATGTGGCAGTAAAAGTTGGACGAGTGCATGTCCTCGTACACGCCTTAGTGATACACGCACACTCGTATTCTGTTTTGTTGGGTTTGCCTTAAGCAATGGCGGTAGGCGCCCGCATGCATTTCGATTCTAAGCAGTTGGTTCTCACGCAAACAGGTGGAAAACCTCAAACGGTCCCGTTGCGGATCTCAACCTGAGCAGTAAGAAGAAACTTTGATTCTGCTCAAATAGGAATGATTCAAAATCCCGACTACGAGGAAATTTCATATCCAGATAGCAGCAGCGGATTCAACGAGCAGGAGTATGAAGAAGAGATGCCTAGTGAGAGTGAGTGGAAACACTTAGTCGAACTTTTCAGGCACGAAACTCAAGAGAGATTCCGTGTGGTTCCCGGAACCACACGAACATTTCATTTGAGTCTGGAAGATAACACTACCGCCCCTACAGAGACCCAGGTTAATTCCTTGACCTTTCTCGGGGAACCTATCTTGCAAATCTCGGACCTTGCAGACGATTTGGAACCCCCTCGCACCCTGTAGGAGGGAACGCTTTCTCTTTGAGCACACTACCAACAGATGAAACAATATTTAGATGTTTCTGTCTCCCCTCCAAGATCGCTGCTTACAACGGGAGTGACCATTGCTCTGATAAAACGAGAAGCCGAAGCCCCCGTCGGCGATGTGCCAGATCTGATAAGGAAATGGTAGACTTGACAGGACTAACTGTGGAAGAAGCTACGGATGATTCAGAGACTGACGCCGAATCAAGGAGACCGAGATGGTTAGCTCTGTTGAATCTCAAATAATTGCGACTGTGTTTTCTGTCCGTACCAGAAGTTCCGTTTTTTCGAGTGTCCATGAGCGACGGAATCGGCCCCCGGATTGGATCGACCTGCCCCTCGAAATACCCGAGCGACCAACTGTGACTCTGCCAAATCACGTCCCCCTAGAATTTCGAAAATCCTTGATCGACGTTTTGAATGGATACGTGGAAGTATTGAGTGTGAGGGACAAAGACATAGGGCTGTCTAATGCGATTGAGCATGTCATCCTAACGGGAGATCATCCACCCATTAGTTGCGTTCCTTAACGATATTCGTCGGCCCAACGGGCGGCCGCCTTTTAGCGGATTAAGGAATTCAAAGCTAACAGATGGATCGAACCTGCTATAGGACCTTGGTCGTTCCCTGTAGTGATTGTACCCAAAAAATCCGGAGGGATTCACATATGTATTGATTATCGGAAGTTGAATGACATCACGATTAAAGATGTGTATCCCCTTCCCCGAATTGATGAATTGTTGGATGCGATTGGGAGTGAGCAATTTTTTAGCAAGTTTGATGTTCGTCATGAGTTTCACCATCTTCTTGTTCGGGAGGAGGATCGGCCAAAAACGGCGTTTGTGTTGTTTGAAGGAACTTGGCAGTGGATTCGATGCCCGATGGGCATCTGCAATGATCCAGCCACTTTTCAGCGAGCCATGAATATGGCTTTCCAGAACTTTGTGCGGAAGAAGCGGTTGACACAGAGCATCATCAATTACTGCGTGATCGTGTACATGGATGATATTCTGGTGTACTCAAGCTCCTATGAGGGGCACGTGCAGCACATCGAATGGGCATTGCATGCGTTGAGGGATGCCGGTTTCAAGGTAGCGTTAGAAAAATGTAAGTTCTTCCTCACTACAATTTCCTTTCTGGGACACATGGTGACGGACCAAGGACTCATGCCAAAACCTCAAAAGGTGGCAGCTGTGAGAGATGCACCTGTACCCATGACTATCATGCAAGTTCGCGCCTTTTTGGGCCTGGCCTCGTACTACCGAAGGTTAATCAAGGGTTTTGCAGCGATTGCGGAACCCCTCCGAATCTGTTGAAAAAGTATCAACCGTTGATCTGGACGTCGGAGTGCGATCAGGCGTTTTCGAGACTTAAAGCAACTCTTATTTCGGCGCCGGTCCTTATACGGCCGGATCTCGAAAAGCCTTTTGTCCTCATCACGGACTGGCAACCGGAGACGGTTTCTGCGATCTTGGCTCAAGTGGGACCAAGCGGACTCAAACACGTGGTGGAATACACATCCAAGTCGGTGCCTGTGCAAGCGCAATTACGCTGCTCCAACAGGAGAGTGCTATGCGGCTCTGTGTGGAATCAGTCATTTCCGAGCTTACCTGTACGGGCGAAAATTCACGCTAGTGACCGATCATGAGCCACTATTGGCCCTTAAGAAATCTAAGGATTACTCGAGCATGATTGGGCGATGGGCGACGGTGCTGGAGAGTATGGACTTTGACATCCGTCATCGGAAGCACGAGAGACACAGGAATGCAGACGGATTGATACGACTGCACCGACCAGGGAAGGTTCCCAAGAATGAGGAGGTGATCCCATGGAACGAGCCGAAGAGTGAGAGCGGGTCTCGATACGGGCAAGTGGAAATCCTATCGAAGGAGTAAGTGACAAGGGGCTTCCCATCTATCTTCTTTGCAGCCCTGTTCCCTTTTCTCCTTCTTCTCCTCTTTCTCTCTCCCTTGTCTATCCCCCCCCCCCCCCTTCTTCCCTCTCCAACCATGGCTACCCCACCTGTCTTCGCGACCCCCTCTTCCCCATATAAGCCCGCCTCACTCACTGCCTCAGCTTTCTTCGCCACCCTTCCTAATAAATTCTGCTACTTCTGTACGTGTATTACACGGGTCTATGGGGTGGTTTGTCACCCCTCTGAGACTGGATTTGCTGACTGAGTAGACTGTTCCACGTGCGTCAATCGCGCACATGGCGCATGTATTAGATACTGAACCGACAACAAGGTATGGAAATGCCCCTTGTGTCGGACAGGCAAGCTCCCGACAGAGGTTCAATTCGAGGCCGCTCGTACAGACGGTCCGGGATACTACGAAAAGTATAGACGGTCGGAGGTCTGAACGGATAAAATTCTATTGGCTAAACTAGTCGGTTTATCATTGGATCATCTTACTAAGCATGATAGACGTCGGGCTACTAAGAGATCCAGAGATTACCGATGGATCAACAGTCATTTGGAAAAGCGTAAAACTGACGAATCGGGCTTGTGGTTGACGGTTCCTCATCCATTTCAGAGATACGATTGGACCCGATCTGCTCACGAGGAGCAAGCCGCTCATTTCACGATACGTGTCACAAAGGCAACTATAGATCAGAATCGATGGTTCAAGTCTAACATACGGGATGATGTCAAGTATGTGGTCGCCAACTGTCTGGTCTGTGCCGCCGAGCGCGCCCCAATACAGGGGCCGAACAAGATAGTACCGACAGAAGGAGAGCGTCCTTTCCAGCGAGTCAGTATGAACACTACAGATATTGACGTGCCACCTGGCCCAAACCGTTGTGAATATTCCATTCTTTTAGTTTTAATAGATCACTTTTCCAAGTACATTGAGGTCTACCCCTGTAAGACTCGTAAGGCCGCAGAAATAGCCACGTACATCGATCGTTTTCTCTACACCCATCTAGATACTGAGGAAATTCTGACAAATAATGGGTCCGAATTCAAAGGCGAGGTAGAGGAACTGCTCTCGCGTCGAGGCATCACGCTTCGGCATACGGCACCCCACGTTTCCCGGTCGAATGGGTTGGCTGAAAATGCCAATCGCATGATTAAGACGATTCTTCGCAAGAATCTAGCGGCACATGACACGCGTCCGTGACCCGAAATCGTATATCAAATCGTCGGAATTCACCGGGCCACCCCTCACGAATCCACTGGTTTCACCCCCTTTCAGCTTCGTACCAATAGCCTCCCATGTGTCAATTATCGAGGCCACTCAGAAATTGTCGAAGCAGGGGGTAGAGACACGCGTGCCGCCCTTAAGGCTAAGGCCAAAAGGTACGCCGATTTGATGGAAAGGGCTGTCCCGAAGCTAGCCCGAGAAAGACAGAAAATGACTAATCTAGCTCACGGGAGACAAGTCCGTAGTTACGAGGCCCGAAATGGGAATGCGGGTCCCCAACATCAATATAAATTAGGGGACCTGGTGGAGGTACGTAAATGTGCACGCGACCGGAAACTCGCTCCCAAGTTCTCTGGTTGTTTTCGCGTTGTCGATCTCGGACCCAATGGTACCAACACGGCGCGCATCGCGCCTGAGGCCAGCGCCAGCCATAGCTCTGTCCCTATCGTTCGCCATACCTCCTACATGATCTACATTCGTCCCCTCCCTCCATCTGATCTCCCTCAGTCTCCCTCATCTGCTAAAGATGAGGACGACGATGATCTAGCCCCTACCCCAATCTCCCCATCTTGCTCCCACGCTTCATCCTCTTCTCCATCCTCGCCATGAGTTTCATCACGGAGCGAGCTCTGGATGATCATCTGCTACAGCTTTGTGTCTACATCTCGGAGATTCGGCAAGTTCGTCATCCGCGGCTCAATCCTAATCTTCAACGACTGGCACAATTTTTCTGCACCGAGGGTGTGTGCTGCCGCGGCATTCCGGTTCGCAGGAAGTCTACAGGCAGTTGTATTGGCAGAAGTAGTGGTGTTCCATCGGCGAGTGGCTCCAGGGACGAGCCACGTCACCACGGTCATCGCCTTCAGCGGTGACATCACCGCGATTAACTCCCTTCGGCATATAGGGATCTTGACGTCACTTCGGGAGTGGACGCAACAGTTGTCGACTGAGTGGCAGCACGGCCTTGCGCGCCCCGGGTACAACCTCGTCCCGACATATGGGACTGGCCTCGACTGGATCCACACCTCTTGGCGCCAGCCGGCAGTGGTGCTTCCTACGCTCACTCCCTTTCAGCGCCCCCAATGAACCCCGTCGCCCCTCTCGTTCCTCGCGGTCCTCTTGCTCCTCTCTCGGTCTTGGGTCTCCCCTCTCTCTTTCCCACCTTCTGGCAATTCGATCTGCGCCCCCATCTTTCTTTCCGGTTCGAACCTCTTGCAGTCCCACTCCTCGATCCAAGGCACAGGTTAGTGTGGCGTGAGACCTTTGTCGATCTGTCGATGTGCTTAGTGAGAGTAAAGGTGACGTGGATGCGCACCGACGAGCACCAGGAGTGGATCGAGTACCTGGAACTGCTGATTATACAGGCGTGGAGAACTGACGTGGAGGGCGATCTTCTCGGTTTTCTGTTCGGATCGATGCGGCCCGGCCATCGCCAGCCAACTGTTCAAGAACTCATCGTCCCTCTCGCGCAGCTGGTAGACCTCTCCCTCGATATCGTGTCGCAAAGCGACGCAAGTCCGGCTCCACACGTTCTTACACGGACATTGGATCCATATCTCCAGTGGACTGCGTGCTTGGAGGAGCCCGGGAGTGGAGTCCCGCCGTCGCAGCAGGAGAACCTGAAGCCGTACGGAATCATCAATCGTGCTCGGTACCCGCTGCGAGATCCATCCGAGGAGGCGGCGGGAGAAGAAGAGGAATCTACCGAGGAAGAGGTCGACGCCGAAGAAGAAACGCCGGAGGAGGGAAAGTATAGTGAGCACAGCGAGGGGGAACAAAGTGAAGAAGAGGAAGAAGAAGTGGAAGACGACGAAGAGGAGGCAGCCGGATCGGAGTGGGAAGCCCTGCCGGAAGAAGCAGTGCGCACGGGCACAGAAGTAGAAGATCCCGAGGCGGCACGTAAGAAGGAAGAGATCACTGACGGGAAACCGAAACTAGAATTTGCTAGCGGGGCGAGTCTGCGCATCCACGACGACCCGAGCCGAGATCCGGAGCCACCCCGACCCGAAGATGGCGACCTCGCGGCCACGGCTCCAAGCGCATTGCGGCGGAGACGGAGCCGATCCTCCTCCCCCTCCACCCCAGCCCGTCCCCCAGTTCGTCCACGTACCGATGCGGGGGATCGGCCTTCGTCCCCGGTCGTTATCCCGCCGTCTGCTTGACTACCTCACCTTCCGCCAGATTTCCACCCCCGTCACTTTCCCTCGCAACCCCTTCCCATCAAGAGACTTCCACCACTTCACTCCACCCGACTCGCCGTCACCGTCTATCCCCATCCCTCCCTTCAATGTGCAACCCCTGTCTTCTGCTCGCATGTCCTCTTGTGTAGTGACGCGTGGCGGGAAGAGAATGTAGTAGAAGTCTACTGCGTCATCACAGGTACCATCCCTGCATGCCGCCATCACGAGCTTTTCCGCGCTGCGCCCTTCCGCACCTTCTCCTCTCTCTACCCCGATTACCTTGCTTCCCTCCCCGACACTGGTAATCGCTTCCCCCGTTTTCACCGGATCATCCGCTATGAGGATTTTCCGGCAACAGAGGAAGAAATGGATCGCTATTTGCCCCTTCCCCCTAACCCACCCCGACGCTATGCCCCTATGTATGGTGTCTACTTCCCCATTCCTACACGCCGGGTGTGACTGTCTTGGGGATCAGATTGTTGAGCTTGCCACACTGGATGACACCCACACTCTTTCTCACGGTAAGTGGCAGAGGTCGACACGTGTCCACAATGGGAAATGGACTTAGCCCCCGGGTGTTACGAATGAAAGGCTTCGCGAAGATCATGCTATTGACGGACGTCAGCTCATGCTCTGATTCGGTGAATTGCGGGGCGCGTGCAGAGTTGGTGGACCATGATGGTGCCACCTGGACGATCTTTAGAGATCGAAAGGCAGGGGGGTTGCGTATGACAAGTCTGCGGAGGATGGGATTCAAGGCGTCACGAGCCAGCAGCAGCGCGAGGATCTTGCCACTGATGTTGTCACCATCTCATCCCCCGCCTTAGTTCTTCCTGCTTCTTCGTCTCCTCCCACTTCCTCTGTTCCAGTTTTCATGCAATCAGGAGATCATATAGTTTTGGAACCCCTTGCGCGTCACATATGTGACGAACCGCTTCCCGACCCCATGCTATCTTCTGTACCCCTTGGCTCATTGTATCATACGGGCCCAATAAAGCCCTCGTTGCTTTTCTTGATTTCAGGCACCTTGTTTCGGCCCCCACTTTTTCGGAAGTTTCATTGATTCTTGGAATTCTGCTTTTTGTAATTTGGGAAATGCATGGGAAATTGCGTGCGCCTTAGCGAGCGCGCTGGGAATTGGGCTCGACAGTTAGTAATTCCGGAACAACAGGAACGCGACGTGTCCTTTTTGTGCATGAATGTTCTCGGTCACGTCGTCGAACACTCTAGGAATTTTGTGAGAATACGGATAGGTGTAGGACTTTATTTTCCCGCGTCGACCTTGCGCGCGGATATGGTGATTTCGATTTTTGAATTGGTTTAGGACAGAGGCAAGCTGTAACCGCTTTGGTGCCTTTTTCTCTTGCTGTCGGCGCCATGCATGCGAGATTCCTCCTCCTTATTTCCCGCACCATTCTCTCCCCGCGCTGTCTTCTTTCTCTCTCCCTTCTCCCTTCTCTCCTTCTTCCATCGTAACTGTTTTTCTCTCTCTCTGCTCTTCATGCGCATGTTCTTCCTTCTTCATCATCTGAATCTTGCACCCGTCTCGCGCTGCTTCTCGTACTTCTTTCTTTCCCGCTTTCCAACCCCGACTCACGAAGCCCGGTCGATCCTTTGATTACCCCCCCTCACCAATCAGACGCGTTGACTAAAAGGAACTTCCTATTGCGCAGCGAATCTCATTGGGCGAACATCGGGTTATAAGGACTCAACATGGCTTCCCTTGTGCATTTTCCTCTGAATCTCTCCCTTTTGCACCTCGACTTCTCCTTCACCTTCCCTCCCTTCTCTTTCCCTTCCCGCAACTATAAATTTCGCAAACACGCCCGCAAATCTCTCTTACGTTCTCAACTCGCAAGCCATCTTCCAAGAAGTAGTGGCTAGGCGATGTGCTTGGTGCGAATCGGAAAGTCCTGACGGGGTGACGGTAGGCTGGCCGGTTGCACGCTTGATCGCCACGACGGATTGTGGGATCCGGGCGAGCCGTGTCGAGCTGCGTTAGCGGGGTAACGATCGCAGTGGTGGGAGTTAGCACGCGACGACCGGGATCGTCGGTGCGGGTTTGGGGATCAGCAGTGGAAGTTGAGTGGTTGATTGGCCTGGGGCCAGATTGGAATTTCACGGCGGATGCGCCTTCATCGTTGCGGACCTATTTCTTTGGTACGAGTCTACGGCTGCGAAGCCGATCGTTTTTGGATTTCAGTACTTGTGGTTCCGACATTCCTCATTTATCTTCTCTCTCCCCTTCCTGTTCTCTTCTCTCTCCCCTTCCTGTTATCTTCTCTCTCATCTGGAATGAGTTTGCGGCATCGAAGTCGGACGTTCTTGTCTCAGATCTGTGTATTTCCGGGTTTCGATCTCTCTCTGTTAATCTCCTCCCTCTCTTTCTGATGAGAATAATGATGTGTGAAGTGTCGGTCAACAAAAGTGAACCCGTGTGACTTCCGACACATAAGAACTTCTTCCGAAACTCTTCCATTAGTTTCCTAGGTAATCCCCAAACATAAAGGGACCGGATCTTCTTGTCGTGTGAACGGTGGATGCATGTGTATTGTCCCCCGATCCATTTTTGATTGATGGGAGGGTCGCATTATTGCTATTTTGGCACCTTCCACAGTGGATACATGTAAAGGAAAATGCTTATTTTGATTAGGTTCAGAGTTTGTCGAGATCTTGTCCGAGAATGCAAGAGTGTTTAGATCCGTCGTTTTGGATGCACTGTGCATGCCATCTGCCTTATGCTGCACGACATCTGCAGCCCGTCTGCGGGGCAGCCTCAAAAGAATAAGGCACCCCGGAGCCACATCAACCCGGACGGCTAAACCTGAGTCGTGGATTGGTCTCTCGGAATTCCAATCTGAATGCTGCCCCTAAGTTGGCGTGTTTACGCAAGGACCGTAAAATACCTCCGAAGAAAGGGGATTCTTAATCTGTCTTCTTCCTGTTTGTACTTTTTGATGACGTCTGGGAATTTCTCTGGCACGTTCCGTCTGATTGATTGACATGTGGAGTGACGGGCGCACCTCGATTGGGCGCCAGCCTCCCGTATCTCCCACACCGACGCCTCCCTTCCCCTATAACGAGGAAAGGACATGTGTCTGCGAGTGGGACGTACGAGAAGCTGCCGCACGGATCGGCGGGCGGTATTATTTCCCTCCCGAAAATCGTTGTTCTGGGTTCGTGGACGCAGGTTTTGTCATTATCGATACGCACTTCCCGCCTTACTCTGTGTTGTTGCCATTTAACGAACTCATCGTCATTCCGTAGACGGCAGTAGCACCCCATTGGCCCAGAACCTTGTGCTCTGAGTGCTAGTGTTTCGACCGCTACGAATCAAAGGTGTTCCACTACCGTATACGGAGTGAAGAGGAGCACAAGGAGAGAGCTACGCGGCTGAGACCCTCCACGTCGGACTCGAAACTGACTAACGAGCGACGTCGGGACTTGATACGGAAACGGGATACGTGGAGTGTACCAAAGCCCTTCTGCTCTAAACGAAGAGTCGTGGCGCGGTGGGAAGTTCGGCAATACTTTTTGGATTGAATTTGGATTTTTCTTTTTTCGCGCCGTGCCTGCGCGCGCGCAAACTGCTATAGCGCGAAGGCCATCGACTTACTTCATCGGACTAACACGAGGGGATTTCAGTTATGTCTGTGTCCCCACACTCAATTTCCCAAAAGTCCTTGGCACACCCCAATTTGCTGATCTTTAGGGGCCAGTTCCACCCCACCGTGCACTCCGAACGAAAGACAGCACATGGCGAGAGGTTGCGCATCACATACTAGATCTGCATGAGGGGAATGTATCATTAGTCACATAGGGAAGGAGCTGAGAGGGGTGAAAAATGGAATTGGTGTGGAGATGGGGTAGAATCTCGATGGTGTTTATTTGCATCACCTTTGACATCTAGCACTTGCCACGGTCCTCTGTAGGCAGGTAGTAACTTTTGTGAACTCCCTTCCTCGGGGATAAACTCTTTAGACTTGACCCAGACCATGTCCCCGCTCACAAACTGTGACGGACGATGGTGCTTGTTCGCCTATTCCATCATATGATGTTGGGCCTTTCGGATGTTCGCAGCCACATGCTGCAAATCCTTCTCATACTGAATGACAAACTCACATGTTCTAAGTGACAACCTTTCGATCTGATCGGGATTCAAACTGTCGAGGACTATGGGACGTCGGGCACTCCAGCGGCGTCCAGCCTCTATGTAGCTCATTTGAGGTCCGCCAGGTAGCTAGGTGAACCAAGACTTCCAAGTTACTATACGCACTATCTACTTTGGGAAGATGCTCATCTACTATAGGACCTTGTTCATCTACTCAGTCTGGCCATTTGTCTCAGGGTGGTGTCCATATGGCATAGCTCACTTAGATACGTACACCTTCATTAATTGTTGTCACTATTCCCCTGTGAACCGGGTGTCTCAATCACTAACGATACTCAACGGGTGACCATTATGATAATCCTTGAACCAGTGGTTAACGATACTCAACGGGTCACCATAATCCTTGAACCAGTGGTTAAAGAACTCTTTGATGACCAAATATATCTTCCCTTCAGCAGGTAGACCATGACCTGACTTTTCTCATTACTACTCTTGACTTTACTGTCCAGGAAATCGATACATACAGATTCACTGAGGCTGGATGGAATATGCAGGAGCCTCAAAGGTCCAAGGGGAGACTGCGTGAAACTCTTGTTCCTCATACTTGGCAACCTTGGATGTAGGTGATGCAATCATGGTTCATGTCTAGCCACGTATACGATCTGAGTAGCGTAGCATAGGTCTTCGGCCAACCGAAGTAGCCTTCAGTATTGTGGTATTCCCCTAGGATCAGACAGCGTACCTCTTTACTGCACGATATGCAAAGTCTATCATATACATCGGTCCTCTCAAACAGCAATCCATCGGCCATTCTGAAATCAGACACTTCTTGAGGTGTGGTCACCTTTTTTATCAACGTACTATACACGGGATCATCAGTGTATGTAGCCTTGTTCTTTTATTGCGGATTTGCGTGAACGTTTAGGTAAGTCACTATTGCACCAAAGAAATTTGCACGTTTGCTCAATGCATCAGCCACAACATTGTACTTACCCTCTCAAGTTGAACTCAAAATCAAACTGATCAATCTCCCAAGCCTAGCTAGTGAACTTAGGAGTCACTGGGGTCTGGCTCTTCATGATCGGAATAAACCTTACAGTATCATCCTAGTAGGCAATGCTGCCAGTGGTCCAGAGTCTGTCGAATTAAGAATATTGCACGCTCATAAATCGAGGTCGTTACCTTCTCATGAGGGAACCTGCAAGACATAAACGCAACGGGTCTGTAACCATCTCCATCATTTTGTTAGAGAACAATGTCAATGTCATATTGGCTAGCATCGGTAGTGACAACAAACAGTAAAGCTGGATCAGCTGCTTTAAGGACCGAGTACTCGATGAGGAACTTCTTCAACTTCTTGAAGGCTGATGTGCATTCCTTGTCCCAATTCCAAATGGTTTCCTTCCGCAACAGCCTGCACAAAGGAGGAGCAATGGAAGCGAAGTTACACACAAACTTCCTGTAGTAGTTGGCCGGTCCAAAAAACAACCACAACTCAGTCAACGTGTGTGGGGTTGGCCAATCACAAATTACTGCTATTCTCTCGTCCTCCAGTCTCACTCCATCTCCATCTACTATGTGTCCCAAGTATAAGACTTGATGCTAAGCCCACTCACACTTCTTCGGGTTGATCATGAAGTTTGACTCACGCAACTTAGTCAAGATCTGACGCCTACGAATCCCCCCCGGCGGTGGCCAAGCGCGGCGAAGTCCGCGGCCGCCGCCAAGTCCACAACCCCGTGGACGCGTCCGCGCGACTTCAAAGACGCATGGCGGCTGCTAGGGAGGGGCACACAAAATTTGAGTGGTGGCATGGGGCGGCGCATCCCCAGCCCCACCCCCTCAAGCAAAAAAAAAC